GTATGGCAATTGCCATACCGCTACACTTGTGAAAGTAAAATCTGTTGGGCTCCTTTTGGCATCAAGACAATTATTCTTATTGCCACCTTGCCAGACAGGACACTGTAAAAAAAAAAAAAAAAAGAATACTCAAAAATCACTCTATTACGGTAAGAAAAGTACTATTGATATTGATCATAGTTCTATTCAAGAGTAAAAAAATATTCGGTAATAATGGTTCTCCAGTACTGCATCACTAATTATTATATCTGACATTTAAAATAATTTAATAAAACAAGCAAATTAATTAAAAAGTAAAATTTCCAGACAGAGGAAAAACATTTCCAAACCAAAATTTTTTTTCAAATAAAACTTTTGAAACCAGTACCTCCAGTGATAATACCGGTATTTACTCCTTATTGTATATTATCATCACCTCCAAATGTCAGGGTAGGTTTGACTAAGCCCGTGAACAAAAAAAAGAAAACTAATTTTGTTCTGGAAAAAAAAAACAGAAAGAAAAAAAGCTAGGATTATGATGTGTGATAATACCTGTCTGATGTGAGTCAGAACTAATGTTTTCCCAAGTAGTTTATCTAATCAGGACAGTTCCTCTGTCAGGATAAAAAGTCATCTTCATTCTGTACGCGGCAAAGATTTGGGATGGAATAGGAGCTGAGACCTTGATCTAAAAACATGGTGTAATATTTTTGATAAGGGTAGAGCGATGCAGGTCTCCTCACTTACACACTTGGATTATGTGTTGATGTGGCTGTCATGGTTACAGTTCTGTTTAAGTTTTATCTTTGGGTTTTCTTTTGTTTTATTTCCATTTTGTGTTATTCTAGCTATTTTTAATTCTTAGGTATTTCTTGTTTGCCCTCTGTTTTCTGTGTCAGTCTCCTTTTTCCTAGCTCCCTTCTAGACTCCTCTACCCTGGTCTTTACTTCTCTCTCCCATATATGCACCTCCTGCTCAGCCGTTGTTTGCTGGTTTGTTGTCATTTCATCCCCTTCTAGTTAGTTTTCCTGGTTTTTCTGTATTCTCGTGTATTCTTAGGATTTATGTTTTTGGATTATTTGCTTCTGTTGCCTTTTGTATAAATAAATCAGCAAGAAACCACCTTCAGCTTCAGTGTCTGCATTTGGGTCCTGTCAAACCTTCGCCCAACTTGACAGTGGCATACTGGAGTTGTATAAAATGCTTCTTTAACTGTGATTCTGATCTGAGTAAGATTACAATTCCAATCAAAATCTGTTGCCCTGTCTCAGGGTTATTTAAAACACTGACATTATGAAGTATTATTTAAAGAGTTTGTCCCGATTGATCTCTTCTCAGGAAAAGAACCTTAGACAGAAAGCTTCAAGGTTTAAACACAGAGCTTTCCTTAACATCATTATAGATTGAATGTATAATGAACACTGGATGGAGTAACCAAACATTTTACTCAAGTAAGAGTGGTGATATTTTTGTAAAAGTATCACTCAAGTAAAAGGTATGGAGCAGTACAACTACTCCTAAAAGTACATCTTTGTCAAAAAGTTACTAAAGTAACTACAACTGAGAAAATGTAACTAGTTACTACCCACCTCTGTTCCCTCCATATTCTCCATCAAATTTCAGTAAGGATTTGGGCTCTGCTGCAACAAAAAGCCTTAAAAATACTTACAGTCAGAAAAACATTAAAAAAGAGAATATATTAAACCTTAATCTTATATATCTAAAGGAAAAACAGCCAGAGAGCACACTTTCTTATCCTAAGTTGTCTGTTACCCACTGATCCTGTGAGTTTATTGACCTGTTTGATTAATGAGTAGTTCATAGGTCAACAACTAAAAGAGAAGTAATTAGAAAAAGCAATATAAATAGAATAAGAACTTGGCAGGACATCAGGTTTTAGTTATTTTCTCATCTCTCTTAGCAGGGTTTCACTGAAAATGAGAAGTGAAAGATACAGGACATCATGTGATCTAGAAGAAAAGAAGAATTAGAATGTGAAAATGTGGAGTGAGAAGAGGCTCTTCACACTTCAAGTACCATCACCATCATTTGCAATGAAAGAGCAAACAGTTTGGATACAAATCTGTGACAGTCTCAATGCTCTTTTGTTTCTTATTATTTACTCCAGTGGTTCGCAAATAATAGAAAATAAACATTAAAATAGAACAGAGTATTAAGGTAAGTTTCAGTCTGTTTCCCATTGAAGTTAAAAACTGTTGAGAAAAAATAATTGTACTTAAAGTGTCACAACTGTTTTATGAAAGTGAAAATAAATGTGGTTTTGATAACCTTTTTAAATGAAAATAAACTATGTAACATTTTCTCTCATTATGATAGAATATCCAGAAGTAACCTGTTGCTGACGTTATACTGTTTGTAAAAGTGCTCGTACTCGTCGTCCCTACTTCATCGGGTCGTGGGGGCAGCAGTCTCAACAGTCACCCAGACTTCTCTTTGAGCAGACACCTGCCCAAGGCGCTCCCAGGACAGCCCAGATATAGTCCCTTCAGCGTGTCCTGGGTTGTCACCTGGGCCTCCTTCTGGTGGGACATGCCTGGAACACCACTCGAGTGTGCCACCCAGGGGGCATCCGAAAAAGATGTCGGAACCACTTCATCTGACTCTTTTAAATTAGGAGAAGCGGCTCTATTCCAAGCTGCTCCAGAATGACCAAGTTCCTTACCCTATCTGTAAGGGAGAGTCCATCCACCCTGCAGAGAAACTAATCTTAGACACTTCTATCCTGGAATTAGTTTTTTCGGTCATGATCCATATTTCATGTTCATAGGTGAGGGTAGGAATGTAGACCTACCGGTAAATCTGAGCTTTGCCTTTTCACTCAGCTCTCAGTTCACCATGACAGACTGGTGCAGCGTCTGCATTATAGTAGCAGCTGCAGCGATCCATCTATCGATCTCCCGCTCCATCCTCCCCCTATTCCTGAACAGGACCCCAAGAAACTTGAACTCTTTCACTTGAGGCAGGAACTCCCCTAAAGCCTGAAGTGGACAAGCCACCTATTCCAACTCAAGAACCTGCTCCATTGTAGGGAGCGGGTGGCCTTTAGTAAAGGGCCGGCGACTCCGTACTCCTGAAGCTCCCCACACAAGGCACAAGGCCTTGCTTTAAAAGTAAGACCGCAAAAAAAAACAAAAAAAACAGAACTGTCTGGCCTGAAATGAAGCATGTTCCCTTTTTTTTTTACATGTTCAAAGATACACATACTGTAGCACCATCAACTAGATGATGCAAATCTGCTTTAAGTGTCTTATCTGTAATTTTACTGTAAGGTAAAAGCACAAAGCAAAAGGACAACAGAGATCATTAACATTTTAACATGAAAAAATAGTGGGAAAGTTTTTGTAAATGGTCTGTACTTGTATAGCAGTTTTATAAGTCTGGAGATTTGACCAAAGTGCTTCACACGCCATCCAGTCATTCACGCATTAATGCACACACTGAAGCTAGATTTACACAATTTCACTTACAGAAGGGAGGCTGCTGTACACCGGCACCACGAGCCCTCGGACAATCATCGGTTTTAAAAATAGATTAAAAAAAAGACTGACTAAACAGAAACATAAAGGTTTTTTTTATGTTAAACACTGTCCTATGACATTTTTGGTTCCTCTCACTTTCCTTTGCAGGAGTTACTTGTGTTTTATATGAAGGGAGCCGTACTGAGATGCAGTATGTCAACAATGCAACTGTTCAGGATAATAACAGGAACAGAACAACAGAGGAACATAACACCCAACAGAACTCTACTGAACTGTATTCTGTACCAGAAACACAACATGCTAAAAAGATGGGTCTGATGTTATTTTCAGAAGGAACACTTGAACAACTTGACATAATATAATATAAGTAAACTTTGTGTCCCTAGTTTTGTTTGTAGGGGCCTCTGTTTTAATTTTAGTGACAAGTTTAGGGTTTCATTACTACCATGTGAAGCAAAAGAATAACTTGCTCATTCAGCGAATTCAGGAAGTCAGTTGACCTCATTCTTTGTGCACACATTGATGCTGAGCCTAGACCTGACTAATTGTAGCAATCCGACATCATAATGCTGCATCACAGGCTTGTACAGTAAACACTAAGCATGGTGGATGCTCCACTTTACCTCCTTCTCTTTTTACTCTGATGCATCCATCACTCTAAAAAAAAGTAAATCTGATCTAATCAAACCATATGATCCTCCTCTGTCACATTTACAAATCTCATCAGCTCTTTATTTCTCTCAAACATTTCTGGGGGTTTTTTGCCCCTCCTCTCAGCTTTACACTGTGCCTCATCCAGACCAAATCATTTCAAGAAATGTGCATAACTCTAACTTCCTGTATTTCCACACCCATTCCCATATCACTCCAGTCAATGGAGACGTTAAGGAGGAGTGCAGTCAGGCAGGCAGTCCAGCACTCAGAGTCTAAACCATTAACCAGACTGAACCGTGCTCCGAAGAGACAGCATATGAGCTTAGTTCTTAAAGACCATGGCAATCAGACACCACAGCAGTACAGGCCGCTGTGCCAAAACAAGCCCTTCTAGGTCAGCTGGTGTTGAGGAAATTGATTCCAAACGGTTAGCAGTTTTCATTCCTCACAGCATATTAGGGCTGTCATTATTGATCGAATGATTTGAGGACCTGGATTACT